GGAGGTCCTGGAGGCGGCAGACCTGGCGGGGGGGCAGCAGCAGGGTCTGGTAGGGCCAGGTGGCCCAGTACGGCACCACGACCAGCCAGTCCTCGTTCTCCACCACCAGCCGCTCCTGCGGGACAAGGTACTCGATGGGGACACCTGCAGCCCTAAGACCCTGGGGATGAGCACTCCCAGGGTCCCTGCTCTTGGGGACTGACACATATCCAGCTCGCAAGGAGGGGATACACACAACAGCCACATTCTCACCTTCCGTCGAGCCTCCTGCTCAGCGTACTCCAGCAGCATGGGCACGCCGTGATGGCTCAGGTGCTGCCGCTGGGTCCGGTCCTCCAGGCGTGCCTCGTTTGGGAGGAAGCTGCTGGCCCAAACCTGAGGGGGGACATCAGGGCACAGGGATGGATTATGTGTACCCAGCATTTGCAGGGATGCCCCAGCCATGCTGCCCATCTGCAGGTCCGTGCTGCCACCAGGTGGAGAGTCCAACATGTGGCAGCCACAAGGGACAGTCCCCTGGAGGGGAGGTGACAGTATAGGCATGAGGGGATCCTTTCTGCAAAAAGCTTTGGGACCAGGGCAGGGGGGATTCCCGTTCACATCTTCTGCCTGGGTTTGTTGTTGTAGGGTCACCCACAGGGATTCGTGGCTAAGCCAGGCCACGGGTGGGACAGCCTCACCTGGCAGTGGGGGTGCGGGTTTGAGCAGCCCATCATGGCTCCCTTGTTCTCGAAGATCTACAGAGGAAGAGATGCAGCCGGCAGGTCCTAGCCCCAGGGTCCCCACTGCGGGCTGCCATGGTGTCCACGGCACACCAAGAAAGCATCCCGCAGGAAAGTGGAGCCTCAGACCCGCCTGGAAAGTCTCAGGGGGGTATGAGGTGGGGACAGGGGACCCACATGCAACCAGGATGGTCCCAACCCTGGGTGCTGCCAGAGCACCCAGCCCTGGCCACCCACCTCCACCCAAGACCCCCAGGGAGGGGAGAGAAGGGCAGCCCCCACCAGCCCCGGACCTGCACCCCGGGGTAGGAAGCACCCAGCTCAGCTGCCAGCTCTGCCCACGCATCGATGACAGCCCGGATCTCCGCCAGGGACATGAGGGGCAGCGTCAGGTCCGACCAGGGGTGGAAGCACATCACCTTGCTGTGGAGGAGACAACCACCACTGGGGCTGCGGGGCGTCCCCGGAGACCCCCATGGCCCTGTGGGGTGCAGTGGAACAGGATACAGGGACAAGACCCGCGAAGTAGAGCAGGTGTGCACAGAATAGGTACCAGAAGGAGGGGAGCAAGCTCCATCTGGCTTCATCCCAGGGGCCCTGGCCGACGTCGTGGCCTGGACCCCACAGAGCCATGGAGATACTTACCACACACCTCGGGCTGCTGCAGCTCGAAACAGTGGGTGATCATTGTCACCTGGGGAATGACAGAGAGTGGGGAGGGAGAGGGTGCTGTGGCAGCACCCACCAGGCCACCCTGCGCTCCCTCCAGGACCTAAGCCTGGGGGTCCCCGGCAGCCTGTTCTCCCCCCAGAAGTTACCAGGCTCGGGAGCATCGGGCTGCAGCGCGGGGAAGTCATTTGGGAAGACAAAGGTGCCCTCATACTGGGGGTTCACCTACCGGGGCAAGAGATGGGATTAGGAGGGGGATGGGGTGGTGGTGGGAGCCCGGACACCCGGTTCCTTGGTGGTACCTCGCCGTTGGCCCGGGTGGCGCCGGGGCAGAGGGGGTTGTTGGGGTCCCAGCGGGGCACATCCTCAGGAGGCGGCTTCTCCAGCTGCCCCTGCCAGGGGCGCTTCACCCGGTGGGCCGACACCAGCACCCAGTCGTCCCGCAGCGGGTTGTAGCGAGCGTGCTGGTGCTCTGCAGGGAGAGAGCAGCGGGGCGTCAGGGAGCGAGGGACGCGGGGTGCAGCCCTCACCCCCCCATGGGCCGGATACCCCCCCCATACCCCCTTCTCGGCTAACCCTAGAACCCCACTTTATGCCCTTCCCACCCCCAAAGCTTCACCCCATCCTCCCTGTCTCAGTACGGGGGGGGGTGGGGGTTCCCCGCTGCCACCCCCCACTGCCCCCGGGGAGGGAGGGTCCCCCGGGGCTCGGCTGAGGGGGGTGGGATGCGGAGGGAGGCAGCCCCGACCGTACCGCTGGCGCGGAAGCGGCC